GGCTGGGCCACGGGGAGCTGCTCCCAGATGCACCTCCCCCTCCTACCACTCAGCCGTCACATCTCATACAGCCCTTGCTCTCCTCCTTTGCAGGGCACTGCCAGCCCTTTGCACAGGGCAGGTGCTGGGGCAGCGAAGGCTTCCCCAGCCCGGGGCAAGGGACCCAGCGATAGGGAGGAAACAGAGGGGAGGGGGCGGGAATTCTCCACAAACTCGCCTGCTAGGACCCACCATCCCAGCTGGGGTTTGAGCAGGGCACCTGGAGGGGAGAGGGGCCCTGGCCCATGTCAATCATGTCCTGACTCAAAACTGCTCTGCCAGCCAGGTGCAAGCGACTGACGCCTCCAGGGAGCCCCCAATGCCCTTCACAAGAGCCCCTGGCATGCAGCCATCAGCGGCTTTACAATGCCCAGCAAGACTGAGGCCAGGGGCTTTCACAGAGGAGTGAGGCCCACGGGAGGCAGGTAATGCAGGCAAGAGAAGGCACTGCCTCCCCAAAATTGCCTGCGTTGTCCAGCCGTGCTGGGGGAAGGCCGGGGTCCTGCCCAGGCCCTCAGCTGGGGTTGGGTGGGGCTTGGCTGAAGGGTGAGGGGAGGGAAGGATGTGAAGGGGCGTGGCTTTAGGTGGAAGGGGCGGGGCCTCCCTCGGCTGCGCCGCCGTCCACGATGAATAGATGCGAGGGACGGTACCAACTCAGAGCAGAGCAGACAGTCCTTGCTTCCAAGAGCTGATAATCAGGCACACAAGGGCGGAGGAGGAATGCCACCATAGCCAGGCAGACCAAACTCAGGGGAGCCTCCAGGCAGGGAAAAAGCAGCTGGCTTGGATGCTCCATCCCTCAGTTATCTGAAGCTCCCCCTTCCCCAAGCGGCTCCTCCACCTACCAGGTGAGGGCAAACACGACTCCCCTCTTCTTGAGCATGCCCCTAGGTCATGTGGCTCTCCCGGCGGCCCTGCCCCAGCCGTTCTCCCTCTCTGCCCCAACTACGTTTGTCTGCCCCGCGCCAGACCTTCAGTCTGGCAGGGTGCAGGACATATACCCGAGCCCCCTCCCTCGCCAACTCCTGCTTGAGCGCCACGAGGCACTGCCGCCTGGCGCGTGGCACAGCTGAGGTCGGGGGAGGAGGAGACCTGGTGGCCTTGGAATTGGGCAGCGCAGAATTCTCTTACGGGCCCAAGCATCGGAGAGGCCCAGTGCCCTTGCCACTTCGGGGGAAGCTGGGACATTTCCGGCATCGCAGCGGAGCCCAGGGAAGCTGGCACCAGA